GTGTGTGAGGGGGTTGAGTTGAGTGAAGTGTGTGCGAATCTCGTTGAACGTCGTCGATCGGCTCAGCTGTTAACGTGGAGTATGTATATCCCGTCTATGGATTGGTTTTTGAATGATTCGGGTCGAATTTCGATCTGGCGCATAATCCCAGTCGGTGTAACCCCATTTTTGCGAGCAACTTGCAATTTGGGCTGAAACTCACGTCGAAAGGGGTATGATTGGTATGGCCTTGGTCACCCAACAGTCCCGGAAAGGTTTCCTCGTCTGGCGCCAGCCATATTAGCCACCGAAACTGGTGGTTAGCTTCTTTTTTTTGTGCCCAAGCATAATAGTAGCGGGACCCTGCTGAGCAGCACACATAAACAAATAAAGAAATAAATCAATTAGTTAATTTGTAAGTTTCCTAAACTCGCGGTTTGCTTAGTCGTCATTCCAGTTGGTAGAGACTTCCGGTTAAACATGATTCGAAACTTCTTTTGGGTGGCTTCACCCTATGACTCTAGGGAGTACAGAATCATAGGCTTTCTGTGAACTCCTATCGTAGCGTTTAATTCCGCCTGAGACCATTTCGAACTATAGCACTCGCCTAAATAGAACCTCAAATCCCAACCTTCAGCCCTACTATGTTGAGAACATTTCAACGGGGCTACGAGATTCTCGGCTGTGTAGGATTGCTCGTATCCCTACTAGGATTGCTTATAGGAAAAAATTCCCTCAGTAATTCTCCCAAGCACCAGAACTTGTGGGAGGTGTCGGCAGAGCCAACGTTTAGGGTTGTTGGATTATGTATCGATCCTCTACCAACTGACCAAGTATCAAGGCCTCATCCCCTGTAATACCGATCGTTATAAAGATCGTACGTCCTTCTAGTAGACCGACGATGAGATCTTCCGAAGCGATAGCTTGACCTTGGTCATAGTCACATATCTCTCTCAAAGGTTCCCATCGTCATCACCATTGTTGTACCGTCAAAACTACCACCGCCCCCTACTCCCTACCGCGCATCTGATTAGGCAAAGGTCTCCTTCCCATGCTGATAACTGCACTTACCATAATGGATAATCGAACAAATGTGACAATGCTATTGATCAATCAGTCGAGGGTTACTCGGTTGTAAAAGGAGTACTGATGATGGGCCACCTGGGAAGGCAACCAATCAATCACTGCGAATCACCTTCGAGATCTGAACTGGATCTGATCGGTTGCCGTCCAACGTTATCGGGCCTGCCAATGATAGCAGAACTGGAAAGGGTACATTCCTGGAACCGAATTGGAGAAAACTCGGATCAGCTAAGTTTTGGACGAGTTTGGCATCTTATTAGACTTGATTGAGTTTTGTGGACATGATCGTTGACTAATTAAATAGCTTCCGAACCTGTTCGAAAGGGATGGGCGATACTTTTCTGGAAAGTTGTTCTGCGATTAGACAAAAAACTTGATTGATTAGCACCTTGGAGTTTCCCTTTCTTATCGATTAGTTGGGTGAAAATAAGGTGCAGTGGCCGTAAATGTTGCGCCAATCCCTTTGCCATCCCATAGGATCGAGATCCGCTCATCCTCCCAGGCTTTTGAGTTGCCAAGGTTGCTCAAATGCTATGAGAGGTGTTCAAAATGATAAAAGTATTGATTTGAGCTTTTATTGATCCCGGAAGCAAGTGGTTCTGGGTTGGTGCCGGGAAGGTCGATTTCGAGAGCCATCGAGGACAATTTGGTCCATCTTTGTCCTTAGTTCATTAGTAGAGCTGCTATAAGTGACTTCCCAAGAGTCCCAATTCAGCGAAAATCTCATTTCATGGAACAAATGTACGTAGAACATTCCACAGCTGCTTCAGAAATCGTTTTTCCCCCACCAGCTGCATGGCGTTGGTTTTTTTCGCCGATTTTCTTCTCCGTGCTAACACGTCATGCACATGGATTTATATATAAATATATATTTAATATGACGTGGCAATTAGTCTGGGAATCCACCATTCCCCATCTATTTGGATCTACCGTATTAGCTGAAGGGAAGCCGTTCATTCAGCATGTCTATAGCATTTCTAATTCATATTGACGACATTGTCGTGACTGACAACGGCATCGGCGATGACTCCTTTCTTGTCATCGATGATGGCCAGTATGTTGAGTGCTCGAGCCTATGCTATGAAATTAATCATGCATAATGAACGGCGGAATTGCATGGTGCTATGGATCGGCTCCAAAAGTCTCATATTTGTCACGTGCACGGCGCATTCTCAGCATAATTCAGTATTCGACTGTTTTCGATGTCTTTCTTAACGAGTTCCATAGAAAGCAATCCTAATGTGAGAAATCCTGGCTCATTCAGTCCCGTTGCTGTTTTTGACAGTTACCATGGAGCTAACAGCATCCGCATCCCCCCTTCTTATTGGCATGCTTAAACGGCTTGGGGACCATGACAACTCATGAGGCAAGGCTTTCCTGGGCACGTCATGAGCTCTCGGAAATGCTGAGGAGAGTAGCTAAAGATTATCAAAGGGAAGGCTTCGGGGAATTGAGCCGATTACTAAGTAAGCCGTACTGTTATGAGAAATCGCGATTGAAGTCTCTAAGATGAGAAAGATAATAAACTGTAGGGTATATGAAGGGTTTCCTTCAGTTTTTTTTCACCTCTCATCTAAAAACATGGGGATCCCTTAAAAAACCCCAATCTGGACGGGTGATCGTCCTGACATACGAGTTTGTACAGCAGTATTTTTGCTATGCACGAGTTTCGTGATTCATTACAGTCAGATGCCAAAAATTTTCTCCTGAAAGAGAAGTTTTTTTCCATGTTGCACTCATTTTTCATTCCTGGTGAATGGAATTCAAAGACTGACGCTGATGTTGCAAAATGAAGACAGACTTGGGATTCTATTCAGAAAAAACGGCCCTTGTTTTCTTTTTTTTTNTTTTTTTTTTGACTTAAAGGGCTCAATCAGAAAATTTTGTTACTCTCTGCCCACTGTTCCATCATATCCCAGACCCTCTTTCCTCTTTTTAGGTCTCATGCTCATCCCTCCCCTACTTCCCTTCCCCTACCCCCTTGCTTTTCTGTTCTCCGAGCAATCTCCTCACGGAAATTCTGGTCCAGTCCATCCGATTTTTCAAGTTCTTCTAGTTCCTGAAAAGTTCAATATGAGCTCAAAAGCGGGTGGTGAGTTTCATGCAAAGGTAGCAGTGGATGTGAATGTGGTGTGAAAAGGGTGTGGGGACTAACCAAATGGGGAAGATAGAACAGAGTGGTGGGTGATTTGTGACAAGTGCAGTGCTGCTTGACACATTTAACCCCATCCATTCGAGTTAATCATTAGCGTGGTAATCAATGTTATCAGTTGGAGAGGACGAGTTAATCTGTAATGGCACCTGTAGGAAAAAACACCTGATCTGTATGAATGGAAACACTCAAGTCCCTAGTTTCCCACTGCTTTATGTAGGAGAAGTTCCTTTACCGTATAATTTATGGATTTTCGAAATAGTAGAGAGGCTAAATTGCAAAAAAACCTATTTAACCTAAATTGGCCCGGATTAATGGCATCACAAATGGGCCGAATCATAATACCCTTATAATGACAAAGTATACGGTGTGCTTAGCCTAAAAAGTCGCGCTGTGGAGGCTAGATGGATGGAGATAATCTGCAGGGAGAGAGAGGGCAGCAGCAGACGACGGCAACCTATCCCATTGTGTTTATTAACAATGCTCCGTTCATCACATAAGGGTATGGGTGAACACGGTATTCGCCGCCCGTGTAGTGTATTTGCACCGAACACACATGGCGTCCATTATTTGCACATTATCTAATAGATGTGAGTATGCAAGAGCGCTCAATGAGGGTGTGGTAGAGTTTAGCGCATACGCCCGTCGATTACTACTCTTTATAGGATGAATGGGCAGAATCTGGTGGCAGGTAACCAGTTTAGGGCATGTACCATACCCAATACCTAGGTGAATATCATACCCAAGACCAAGGTGAACGCCTGGATGTCCCTTACTGGTTAGGTTACCTATGCCGGTGATTAGTATTCGCCAACTAAGTCCGCCGTCATCAGTCACCATTTGACTTCCCGGTCTTAAGCTCTTGTTATAATACCTAAAACCCTCTGAAGCCACCCACTTTCCCCCAAATTGCATCTTCTCAAAGGGGTTTGCTTTCATAGCCAAGAGAACGCTATTGATTTTCAAAGCCCAATTAATCTCACTCTATTTTAGAAAGACATGGAAAGTCTACGGTATGAGATTTCGTGGAAGGACGAACGTATTGAATACCTGCAAAAGACCCTAGCCGAAATGGAAGATTCATTACCAAGCTCGTCAGCAGACAACTAAGCCTAGCCACATCATGTCCCGACCGAGTGATTTTTATGCCATAATAGCTCCAGTTCCGAGTTATGAATCTCCCCTTTCCTTTTTCATAGCTAGAATTGATTGCCCATTCCAGAAAACTCGTCCCTATCTGAAGCCTGGGATCGAGTTATCCCACTTTCTACTGGTTTTTGTTTTTTTGTTCAATCTCATCCACATATTCACTCTCACCTATCATTCTTGTCACATCATCATTACCTATTCCCGTTCCGATCTAGATGATTCTGTGGCTAGCTCTAAGCGACATATAGAGAGTGCATTGTCATCAATTTTCGTTCATCTCTATAACCGGTGGTTTTGTGCTGGCTAAAAATATAATGCTGCGTGTTGCTAATTGCCGATAAATGCTGATAAAATGTGATCAAGTCGATGATATTGATATATACTGCTGTGCACAATTAGTGTACTGCTTAATGTGTACTTGTGTGTATGTGTCACTATTTCTCGTGTACAATGATGAGATCTGTGCTTCTGTGCTAAGGTAGAAATCGAAGATCAATAAACAATCATATATTCAAAATAAAACTGAAACTTGAACGTGGTGAAGAAACACATTCGTAGAGATATATTGCCATTGGATGTACAAATACAAGCATTAACACACAATATTGAATGCGCTATGATTGATTATGATGATAAATATAGATATTCTATTCATACAAACACGCTATGGTATGGACGACGATGTGGATGGGGTCCCGTGTGGAAAATGTGTGAAACGACGAATGGAATGCAATATAAAATGCTCAACTGATAGTACGTACACATATATAGAGCTTCTTATAAGTGCGAAGAAAGACACTAGCCATGCCTGGATCTGTGGTGAGTGTGCATTTTAATATACATTGATTCCTGAACGGAAAAAAAGAAAACGATGATCGGCATAGGTGTGGATGGTGTCTTTACTGGGGTCACACGGTGAAAAGCAATAGGTACACAATGAGTACAACAGGACCACTGACAGGTGTGATAGGTGATGATGATAACAAGTGAGGCGCTTCGACCCTAACAACCTTTGAAAAAGACGTCATCACAGACTGTAAATACACGACAATCAAGGAGAAATGCTTGAGAAAGATGGGTGTGTATTCAGGTGTGTATGTAGGTGTGTGCATTTGTGTATGTATCTGGGTGGCGTGGGTATGTGATTGGACTGAAAGCTTGGTGAGCTCTAGTTCTCCGCGATTTCGTACCAGACGAACCCATAAAATTTCTCAGTAGGGGAAACAAAGAATAAAAATCTTCGCCTACTCACCAAGTTTCAAACTATAATTATCGATCGATCGTTGAGATCAGAGACGGATAAAGCTCAATCAATATATATGTATATATTCTAAGCGCGGTGGCGGCGGTGGAACCAAAAAAATTGAGGTACAAATGCAACTGCTGGGGGGGTGCTGCTGGCGGGCTAAGAACAGTGTGTGCTTTGTGTATCTGTGTATAAGTGGAGAACATCCAATGATGTGATAGGAAAAAAAAANAAAAAAAAACCGAACTGAAACATTTGGCGAACAATGTGAACGCGGCGCCGAAAGTACAAGATCGGTTGGTATCGATCGCAATAAAAGCTAGGTAAACGAATCGATACAGTGGGTGAAATGCGTGGGTGGGTGATGGCGTGTGGGAAAATGCTTGTTAACTGCGAAAACGAGGATGCTAACACGATAGACGCATTGTGGAGTGTGTGTATATATGTGAGTGATTTGGGAAAGATGGAAGACAAACATCTATAAAAAGCAATCAATCAATATTCAATACTCAAAATAATAAAATAATCAAAATAAATGAAAGTTAAAAACTGTAAAACTGAAAACAAATGAACATATGAAATGTAAAAAAAATAAAACACTCAGCCATTTACGTCGGCCATTTTGTTGCGGGCGTATTCGATTCGGATACCACCCCGTTCGGAGGATCCCAAATGGAACCCTTGTAACGCCATCATAGCACTTGTAGCTGAAGCTAGAGATGAATATTCGATAAATGCCACTGAGGAGCCATTTTTCGTGTGCATTCGTAGTCGAGTGAATCCGGCAAAGGCTTTGAATACAGATCGCAGTTCGTCCTCAGTGACACCTGGACTCAGATTAGCCACGAATAGTGTCGAACAGCCTTGGAGGGAAGGAGCATTCTGGGCATTAAGGCCTAAGGCTGCCTGTAAAAAGGCATTTTGGTGATAGCCACCATCAGTCGACAGAATACCGGCTAGGGGTAGGGTCTGAGTAGCGGCCGCAGGAAATCGTGGTAAATTCAGTGAGAATAGTTGATGCTGATCGAACAGCAGCGGATGTTGGTCGAATAGGATCGCATCGGCCGGCTGAAGTGGCGCCAAGAACTGAGGCATTGTCTGCAGAGAGGGAGCAGCCATAGGAATAACTGGCGGAGTTGACTGCTTTGGCCGACTGACTTTCGTATTCGATTTAGCCAATTCAAGGCGTAATACCTGAGCACAATCGGGATCAAAACGTACACCTTGTAAAGCCTTACGTGCTTCATCAGCATCCTTGCTAGTCTGGAAGGTAACAAATCCAACAGGTGATGTAGGCTTGCCATTCTTGGCCGTCATCTTCAGCAATGAACTCTCATAACCACGATAAGCACGGAATAACAGATAAAGTTCACGAGGTTTTGCGTCCATAGGAAGACCAGAGACAAATAGGGTCCTAACTTGAGGGCAGGACTCAGTACTGACAGAGTTCAATGACTCCATGGAAATGGCGGACGCCAGCTTGCCACCATCCATGTCGCAGGCCGGCAGGTAAACTGGCCCTCTGCGGGCCGTCGCCGCGCGAGCCTCCTGCGCTGCGGCGCCGCTCCGCCCATTCGCCGCGGGGCACCGTTGCCGGGGCAACCTCCCGTCCAACTAGAATGCTCAACTTCCCTCCTAACGACGACATCGTTATGGGTCAAAATGGAACCAGTTCTAGGATAACAATCCTCAGGTCGGTCCTGGGCCAAATGTTAATATACGACCGGTTCTCCCTTTATGGCCACCCGCTTTTAGTTTGTTTTGTCACTTTTGATTTAATTGCCTTTGTCTTTTGATTCGAAGGCAACTCTGTAAGGAGAGGAATCTCGTGGGGGCGGGTCTTCTTCCTGAGTCGTTCGGAGACGCGCATTAGCAGTATTGATACGGCTTTCTCTTTCTTATCATAGCAACATTGGATCAATAGAAGAGGATCGGATTAAATCCGGGCCGTTATCCACAAAGGAGGAAAACCCGAGACTTCTCGAATACCTCATATTGAGGATTCATCTGATGGATTAGGATTTTACCAGCAAATCTACTAAGCTGATAAAGTCTGCTCTCCAAAATGAGATGCCCAGAGCTAGTTTGGGCCATACAATCCCACCTGAGACCGAATGACGTGAAACCCTTTAAAAACAGAGGTTTCCGATTTCTAGATCGGGTGAACTCCAAAGAGTCTCAAAAAGCTTGATTAACCCTATAGCTATGGGCAACCCTGAAACCTCGAGTGAGCTATCGTGAACTGCCTGGGGTCTAGAGAGTCTGTTTCCTCTCAAAATAAAAAAACATTTGCCACCTGCCTTTGGCTCCCAGATCTCACAGGATTGAAGAAACAAGTCAAATGGGTCAGCTGTGACCCGTTCACTTGATGTCCCTGTCATTACGAAGGGGTGGAAGCTTGGGAATGAAATGGGTCTATGGGAAGGGTAACTATAGAGGCCTAAAAAAAGCTCGTGATTGAGAAAAAAAGCTTATAAAAAGACTAATTTCAATGGAAAGGTTGGGTTTCAAGGGCCATATTCTGGTGGAGATGAGGTATACTGTAATAGTAAGGTAGTCACCCGAACTTATAGTACATACAGGCAATTTCACTGAACTACCGTACCAGACAGTTAATGAGTAAGAGCTGTTCATAAGAACGCTTCTCGTGGCCTGACTTCTTAGCTCAATGAGTGGACCGGAAATCGATTTTCAAAAAGACCGATGTGTTTGCAGTTCGTGAGACAATCGATTAATTTTGACATATTACCAGTTTCTGAACAGTTGAATCTTCGAAGCGACCGCTAAAAATGATTTGTGTACTTTGCTTATCACCTCCCGACCGAACCGCTGCTCTCCTAGTGCGCTTCCGTGTGGCCATTGTCCGCTTTGCACTTTTCCCCATTGCAAAACCACTGCTGGCCATAGCATTTTCCGTGGCAATCCAAGCGTTTTATGATCAATGCGCCGTAATGATTAATGGAATGGCATTGTGATTCCTCCAAGTGGTGTTGGCGGTGATGGTGGTGGTGGCATTGGTGAAAGAGTTGGGTGTGTTTGTGGCGGCCAACGACCACGACCAGTCAGTCAGTCAGGGAGTTCCCGGCAGGTTCTTATCGGATTTTCTCGCGACCCCATCTGTCTGTCATCATCAGTTTTCAACTGTCAATTGATAGCGGACCGAAGAGCTCGTAGTTCGTTCAGCAGCATGATTACGATGACGTGTGTGACCACCAACACCGACATATTGCCCTCTGAGAAATGCGGGTGTTGCCGTCGAATTCAATAATGCAAATCATATGGATCGATGTGGTGTGAGTGCGGAAGTTTCTTCTCCTTGATGTGAGAGAATGGCCTAGGTAGTTGGTCGGAAGACTGGGCGACAGCCTGACGTCGCCATCAACACCCTCGCCGAGAACTTCACCTGTCCTATAGTCATCGTCGACCCCGATTCCGATCGCAGCATGTCCTCGGTCAAGGCCTCCGTGAGGTAAATATCGTACTATATTCGTCATTCTCTGTCGCCTCCTTTCATACAAGGGACGGGTATGGGCATGAAAAATTCGTTCCGTGCTGGCTTACACAGGTAGCCCTAAGGTTTGACTAATATTATTCCCGGTCAAAGGTAAAAGTTATGGATAGAGTTGTAGCTCCGTCGCGTTTTTATGGGATCCAGTCTTGACCAATCTAGCTTTCCATTTCTTAGGAACTGGTTGTTTGGGAGCACAAGAACGCCTACTGGGCCCAAGCCTGGACTTCGGAATTCCTTGCAGCCGGATACGCGTTCAAATGTTTCGGTGATTTTGAATAGAGGTCGGATGCATGGCGCATTCAAGAGATCGACCAACCAATATGAACTGCTCTACCCTTTGTCCACGTCATGCTAGTTAGTGGGTAATGGGTTGTGAATGGTTAGCCTCAGTTTGTGGGAAGCAGGGAAAAGGATTCCAGTTCCTGGATCTGAGCTTTTTTCAACTGGGGGAACATCACTGCGCATAATTCTTACAACGACATACCAGATGGTGGCTCTCATTAACAGTAATATGGGAGCTCCCATAGGTTTTGCAGGGGAAACCTGTCCCAAAAGTGAAAACTGGAACTCGTTAAACTTTCTAAAGTTCGTCACAAAAAATGTCATACGATAATGCTTTTGTACCGGATACATCACGAAACTAGCTAGACGGAATGGAAACTCGTCCAGGAATCGAGTTTCGATGCTAATTATATTCCTGATTTGGTCTGTGAAGCTTCAATTGAAAGGGTATTTTGAAAGAACAGCCATCCATCACTTATAAGACCAATAAATCACTAAAGCGCCTGATCGGGCGAGAGAACATGGAAACTCCTCCAAACCTTCACATGGCTATGGAGGGCTAGTAATTTTGCTCTATAAAGCCATTGCTATAAGAACTCATGGAGAAAGATACTGACGAAGACCCCTCACCCCCACCCCTCCCC